GAGTGATTTTGAGATACCTCCAGACCACATAGGTTATTGGGCATTTTCAAACTGAGCTTCTGGCCCTTCTGAAGTCTTCTCATCATGACTGTATTAAAGGCAAACTCGTGCATGTTCCTATTTAAACAGATTTTCTTGGAAAAATCTTCCCATAATTATATCTGTGCAGCTTGGGTGACTGCAGCATTTGGTGTAGCATTTCTTAGAAAGACATCTTAGTGAGACAGATAAACGAGACATTGTCATGTGTGAGTTTGCTTTGGGGATGATGAGCTCCGTCAGAATTAGCTCCTGTTAGAAGCTATATAGATGAACTAGTCTCTCCCTGTGCAAGTTCATCCTGTTTTGAAGGTTCTGAGACTAAGTATTTTGCCTGGAAATGCCATCAAAAAGAATGGGGTTTTGTGTGCATGAGTTTGAAAAAAAAAAAATATTTTTTTTTCTGGATACTTTTTAGCTTTATCAGCTCCCTGTTCCAATTCAGTAAAGAGTTGTACCAGCAAAACAAGCTGAAGTGGAACAGCATGGAAATAGGAATGGGTGACTTGTTTTGTAGGAAGAAAGGGAAAGAAAACCCTAACAGTTGCTTAATCTGTCATTGCTGCTGCAAGAAATGTATACGTAACTATGAAATACAATAAAGTACAATAAGAAGTTTCTAGTGTTCCTGCACAACAAAAAAAACCCAATGATTTTTGTGTGGATGACTGGCTTTCTGATTTTCTCAGTTCATGGTTGGGACAGAATGTGTGCAGCTTGGGCTTTCAGGCAAAGTGGAGATATTCTCTGTATGTTATAGGCTTTCAGCTGCTATCTTCTTTACTGCTCTCCTCTGTACTCTAATCACATGATATATGTGGCTCCAAACCCACTAAGTCTGAGAAGGCAGTAGGCCTTATGAGTCTTAGGGGATGACTTCCCAGTTGCTATTTAACTACCACACTTTCCAGCTCTTTCAGGGTCCCTTGTTTCCTTCTTGTCATATTCTATAAATCTGTACTAGGATCTGAGAAACCTTTCAGGCAATAGGACACTCAGGAATCCCTGAATCCCCATCCATAAGAGATGTATTGCTCTCTTTGGGAATGTTCTGTGTGGTTGGATGCAACAAACTTTTCTAAGCAAGACAATGGTTCAAATAGGTCCAGATAAGATATCTCCTTTAATCCCCAGATAAACCACCTGTTCTCTGAAGATTATAAAAATTTTGTCTGATCATAAGTCAAAACTGGCTCATGTGGGTTATTTAAGGAGTAATAAGGCAGCTGAGGATCATGTCAAGCTGCAGAGGCTTTCCCATGTGCTGATGTTTGAGATTCTTCTAAAAACTGCTGAAGGGAGGAGGGAAGGATGGCAAATGGAAAGTTCTGAAACTCTCACTAGAGTCTCTTTCCTCCTGTAGATCTCAGGAAGCCCACAGGAAGGAGGAAAAGTCCTTGATATCCTTCCCCAGGCACCTTATTCACTCCATTGCCTCTCAGCAGACCACCTAAGATACAGAGGAGCAGACATCTGGGGTGTGCCCAACTAGCTCCGTGTGTGTGTGTGTGTGCGTGTGTGTGTGCGCACACGCCCACGTGTGTGTAAAAGCAAGATGCACCCAGATGAGTGGGTGTGGAAGCGTGTGTGTGCCTGTACGTATGCATGTGTCTGTGAACAAGGAGTTGGGCACACCAAGAGTTTGGGCAGATGCATTGCTATGGTGACTTTTCCCCAGCCTTCTGCAGGAAAGTAAAATAGGGCATTTACTGGTTCTTTTTTGCTGCTGGAATTGCCAAGGAGCCCAAATTAGTTTGTCAGCTCCCGATGACACAACTGTTCAAAATATTAACTTTTAAAATAGACTCTATCTCATCCTTGCTATCTGCACCAGATCTCAGCTAGATGAGTTCAGTGAACCATAATTTATCTCTTTAGCTTGTTGGTGGGTATGTGTTCTTGTAAAGTAATAGGACAATGAGAAAAAAAACAACTCAGCATTAGAAACATGTTTTCATTCTGTGTGTGTATGTGTGTGTCTGTCATAATTCATTACTTCCCCTGACCTCTAATTTGGCAGAAAAAAAATAATCACTCAACTAGAGAGATAGCCTACATATCTTAAAGCTGAAATTTCTTTGCCTCTGGATTTGGAACGTGAAGGCAAAATTAAGTTTGAAGTGGGAATTCACTTTACAGCGCTAACTGAAGAGTAATTGCAACTGCAACATATAGCAGAGAACAAAGACATGTGGGCTCAATCCCAGTGCATCAGAACAATGATATACTGAACAGACAACTGATGTTTAGGATGAAGAAATATTTAGCAAAGTAAAACAAAAAGAAAAGGATATAGTTACTGACTGAGAAGTTCTGTACTGTGAATGAGGGCTACAAGTGTCTTGTATCATGAGAGCTGTACATTTTTTTTAAGAAAAAAATCAGCATGCAGGAAAATGGTACAAGTAAAAGTGGAGAAGAAATATAAAGCTGTTTATTGTATAATGGTAAGTGCCAGTGAGAAATGACCGAGGAAGACATAGAGGAGGAATGAAAGAATGCACAGTCTGAGAGAATGACAGGAGCTGACCTGTGCTGGGCCTTGAAAATCTTTCCGTCTGTTCATCTAGTAACAAATAAGTGAAAAATACCTATCTATAAATAGCATCTAAACATAGATGATAGGAGAAGGCCTGAAACTCAGAAAGAAGCTTTAAGTGACTGCCAAGTATAGAAGGCATTGCACATCAAAGCTTGAATACGTGGTTACTCCAGATCTTCAGCAGACATTGCTGGTAACCACAAAGTTTGTCTCTTAGTCTGTCATGCAACGTTTTCCAGGGACGCACACTGCAGCCAGTTGAGGCTGAGAGCTGAAACAGAAATGCCCTCAAGTATAATTTCATATAAAAACATCGTGAAACGAATTTTTATCTTAAAACCATCTTTGAAACAACTTTAGGAAAAACTCTTGGATGTATTATCAACCATGCCTGTATTTTGTGGGTTTGTTTGTTTTAAAGTAATTATGCAAGGCTTCTCAATATTTAATTTTGCAAATGCTTGTTGGGCTTTGTCGCTTGAGAAATCCTGGTTTGTTTTGTTCACCCTTTTACGGCGTTTCCTACCATTACACCAAGAAAGAATTCTGATGAGAAGAAGCTTTTATGGTGAAAACAGCTGTAATATCGTAAACTCTTTCGACACCTTTTCCTTCATGTCATTTGTGTGCTTCCTCTAATTTTACTGACTGGCAGGGCTGATGGCATCCTGAGGTTCAGTGGTAAACAGTCAGGATAGAGCCACAGAGCAAACGGATGACAGAGCAAGGAGTATGATCCAGCAGCCCTTGCTCTCAAGTGAACGATCCAGTATTGTGACTTACGTAATGTCTTCATGGTATTTTTTGATGTGACTGCAGAGAATTAGTAAAATACTTGTTTGTTTTAAAGAACTAATAATGGATGTGTTAAGTAAAGCAAAGCAAGCACTGCAGAAAACAAAAGATGGACTATCTAAATGTAATCTTATTAATTTTATATGTTCCAGATTCAGAACAATCTGTGGGCAGGGAACACGGCTAGCGGTTCTGTGGTCACTTCCTGCATGCTACCACGAGATACGTCCTCCTGTATGACACCTTATTCCCATTCACCCCGGACAGATTCTGGCTACACAGGTTTTTCAAACCACCAGAATCAGTTCAGCCACGTGCCCCTCAATAATTTTTTCACTGACTCTTTACTTTCTGGGGCAAGCAATGGACATGCTTTTGAAACCAAGCCGGAGTTTGAAAGGAGGTCCTCCAGCATTGCAGTTCTACGGATGAAAGCCAAAGAGCATGCTGCCAATATTTCCTGGGCCATGTAATATAGCAGTACCCTTTCTTCATTTCCTTTTTTTTTTTTTAATAGCAAACTGAAAACATTCTTATTTCCCATATTTAAAGGACACAACAATAAGCTGCTGTGTGTGGAATGCTAGAAATCACAATATACACAATGTCTGCTTAAACAAATGCAATATAATATTTAACAATAAAAAAAGAATAAACCAAATAGATTTACCATGCGTCAAGCTCAACAAGCCCTCTTTGTTTTGGTTTTTATATAGAAATATGTTTTGTTGTACCAGTTGATGAAATATGATTATAAAACCTGCAAAAAAGAATAAAACTATTAAGAAAATATGTCTACTCCATTGGTTTTTAGCAGTCCTGTACACAAAATTAATGTTTTGCAAATGAATACTTCATAAAGGAACAAGTCTGTAAAGGAAAATAAATTTATTCTAGTAAAACCATGAAGTAAATCTCCAAGCACACCACACAGAGAAGGAAATATATGATCGTTCGTGTTCTAGGTGGAATTTGTAGACCTAACTCTCTCAGCACTGTGCTGCTGCTCTGAGCCAGCTCTGTTGTTTTGCTAAATGCGTGTTGAGCTCGTTGGAGTTACATCAATGCATAACTAATGTAATGAGAATAGAAGGTGCTTTTTTATTTTATGGACCTGAGTGTATTCATATTAAAAATAATGTGTTTTGTTTTTTTTTTTTTTCCCCGAATGTATTACTAAAAGCAGGATCACAGTGTTTAATAGAGTTTTCAAAGACATGAACATAATTTTTAGGTCAACTAGTGTTTAAATGAAATATTTAAGGTTGCAGATAGTATATCTTGAAACTTAGGTGACTAGAAGAGAACATGGAATAGTAGTGTGACACTTTCATAAGAATCCAGATTTAGAACAAAACCACAACAACAACAACAAAGTCTTACTTCCAATCCAGTCAGTCTTACTAACTGTTTTTTGTTATGCTATGGTCAAATTGGGAAGAAAAAAGACCAAGAGGACTTGCCAGTTTCAGTCTATAACTGATTGCAAGATGTTAGAAGAGTACATTTCATTTAGTTTTAGTTACAGTTTGTTGATACTTTGCTTATTTGGTTTTGGCTTTTTTTTTGTTTGTTTTTTTTCAGAGTGTAAGACTGGTTTGCTCCCTTTAAAGTCAATAGGAAAAATCTTTTCGACTGCAGTGGCAGCAGGATTTGGCTCTCAGCTCCCAGCCTATCACAAAGGAATTAAAATGTCAGCAGACTTTCTGACATTTCTGGTGGAAAAAAAAAATAGAGGAGAAGAAAAATACTTTACATCTGGAGAATTGCTATCTGCTTTGATTTACTTCTCCTCCCTTTCCCCTGTCACATTCCAAGCTCCTTCAGATGAGTGAAATGTCAGCCTCTTTGAAAGCAACAGTCAGTCTCTCAGGTTCATAAAGGCAAAGTAAATTAATTGAAATAAAGACGGACTTGCATGGCTGTGATTAGAACAGCCCAGAACTCTCTGGGCACCCCCTGCTCCTTGCTTTTCTCTCCGGCCATTAGTTAGGAACGGAGTGTGGGTGGGGGGAGAAGGGAAGATCGGGGAAGCACATTTCATTACAGCAACTGCAGAACTACCCGTACTCACAAAAACAAACTCACAGGAACCCTCAAATAGTCTCTGCTCCCACTCAGGAGGCTAAACTTGAAAACAAATATAGGAGATGGGGCCATTCTGTAATCATTTAGCGGAATAAGTAAACTTAACTTTGAAACCAGTGGAATCAGTTGAAAATGGGAATTTTACAGCAAGTTCTTACACAGCTGATTGAAAGTAAGGTTGTCCTATTTGCCACTAGTAATAAACTCCAAGTTTAACACATAGGTATACTCCAATTTGTGGTTTCCTAATTTTATTCTCCTTCTAAAAATTAACTTCAACTTTGGCCTGAAGGACTAGGAAGGAGCATTCTGGTTAGAATTTATCTTTTCCTTTTTATGGTCTGTTTAGACAGCAGTAAAATGAACCTTTTGATTTAAAGCAAAAAAAGAATTTTATTAGTACAGGTAAAGACATTAGTTTTATATAGAAACTAGTGCTACAAGCAGGAGGATGAAAGTGGTGGAAATACAAGGGTTTTTTTAGCAGATCAAACTGTTTCCAGTTATAAAATGTGTTTTCAATATTTTTTCCATTTCAATATAATAATTTTTTAAGGTGTAGCATTTAGAACATGTCAAATTGATTTCCAGATAATTTTAATTAGAACGTCATTAGTGGATAAAGAAGCAAAAGCTTAGCTGGCAAATTTCAAGCTATGTTTATTGTTGTCTCCCTTTCAGTTCACTTATTTATTTTAATAGCAGTATTTGCTATCATTGTCTGTGAAATCCAGAAAAAAGTTCATTTTTACAAGGCTATTTATGTCAAGAGTAAAATTAAACAATTCCTAGGAATTTATTGCAGTGACAGAATGCTTGGGGAGAATAAACATCCATTTTCAAAACATTACAACACTTTTAGATGCTTGGAGC